GAAATCCAGCTTTTATAATACTATTTTCTATTAAATCCAACTATATTAAATTTTAAAGTAAAATAGTATTTTAATAAAATATAAATAATAAATAAAAATTACTTATATTAATACTTATATTTATTAATATTATATAATTTCAAATAAAAATTTGAATTTATATGAGTTAGATGTTTAGTAAAGTATTTTTTATACATTTAATTATTTCTGAAGTAGTGTCCTGAAACATATTAATATATTAATATATTAATATGTTTCAGAACACTACTTGTATAAGACTAATATGTCATAGGATATTATAATTTATTAATTAATATGTCTTAAGATGTTATAATCTATTAATTAATATCTTCTAAGATATTTTAATCTATTAATTAATATTTTCTAAAGATGGGTTTGTTTCACTTCTTTGTGACCTGTTGATAATAAATATAGATGAGATATGTGCCTATTTGGTTGTCTCTCTAGATACTAAAGTAATGTAAAAAAAGGTAACAAATGGTGCAGTAATTTGATGTAAATCTGCAATTAATTTCAGCCAGCATTATAACATAATTTCTGGTTGATCTTTAGAACACATGATCTAAAGGATCACTATAATAGTGATCTGACAATACCTAGAATTCTCCTAAAACTATCATAAAATTGGCAGAGAACCAGAGTATTTCTATTAATTTGCCAATTTTAGATCAACTTAAAAACTGAAATCTTATATCTAATGTAAACCTGAAATTAGAGAATAGTACTAGCCAAATTTAAACAAATTTTTACTATGTTTATTATACTGGTCATGTGACTTTTGCTAACCCACAGATCAGAGAATTTAAAACATAAAATAAAAAAACTATACATTACTATAGCTAGCTTATCTACTTACTAAAAGTGCACTATTTTGCAACCTATTCATTGCCTATTAACTACTGATATATGGATACCACTTAGTTGCTAGTATGTATTTACCATTTTGTGTCCTATTATTCTAGTCAAAATTGTATTATAATATCAGCTGAAATTGAATGAAAATTTACTGCGCCTTAGATTTTAAAACCTTTCTGATACTTTCTTGTTATAAGTATATAACGAATGTTTTTATACTTAATACTTTGAATTATTAATCCCTCTAAATTTTGTTAGAACAAATTTAACACACACAGACTATAGGTACTAAGAATTACAAGAAAATTTTTGAATTTTTCAGTATATTTCAAATTTCATGTAGATATATTTTTTTTCTTTTTGAATTACAACTTGTAATATGATATTACAAAGACTCTTAAAAATAGGATTTTTTTAAAAGCATCTTGGATACTTTTTTTCGTCAATTTTATCTAGATATCAGATGCTGTATTGAATTCATTATCTTTGATTATTAACCATATTTCAGATAATTTTTCAGAGGATCATTTTCAAAATAATATTTTAGGATATGTTTTAGCTTTGAAACAGGTGGTTTTACTATAGCAATTTGATTTTATAAAATCTTATTGCATTTTAAACTAAGACAGTTATTACAAATATTTTGATTAGTATATCCCTTATACTTCATAAAACAAACACAATTACCTTGATTAATAAAAAAATAATTAATCAAAACTTTCTCATGCATATTACTATATAACTAAAAGCAGTTATTGATTTACAATTATAATCAATTTTCCATACTGCTTCTGCATATAATTGATAATTCAACTGATATTTTTATGAATAATCCAACTTCTTACGTGAAAATTTTTTTGAAAAAAATTTGAAAAAGTTCCTTTGCAATAATTAGTTCTACCAAATTGAGTAGGAATATGACTAATATATTTACGAATGATATGAGACCTAAGACCAGAGTAAAATTTCTATTTATTGTTTGATGGAGTTATCATATCATTATCACTTAAAACTTCATTTTCACAATCATTTTTTACATCACTTATTTCATCAACATTGAACAAATTGTCATTATCCATTTTTTCATCATTGTCACTTTCCCATTCTTCAATACTATTAATACCATAATTTTTTGATTTAGAAATTGGTTTAAAAAAATTTAGAATTGACTGAACTCCTTGCTTAACTAAACATTTTTACTATTAACGTGAATATTTAAAAAAGTTTATTATAGCAACGATCTAGTTTAATAACTTTATTATAATGACAAATAACTTTTTCATTCAAATTATATGAACATAATGTTGATATTTTGCAAGTCTCGCTTTACTATATTTTTAAGATAGTAGTATTTTTAAGAGAAATATCAAACGTACAATGAAATTTTTTCTGATCAATTTTCACATGCTATGTATAGAAGAAAAATGAATTAAACTAAAAAAGCATATATAAACTATTTATTATTATATTAATTATACTAATTGTAGAATTTTAACTAAGGGTAAATCAGTGATAGAACTAATTGTAAATTGTAAAGTTCTAATTAAGGGATAAAGCATTCTAAAAAAAGAAAATTATAATGAAATAAATCTCCTATCCGTAAATAAATCCCCTATAGTATCTATAATTTTAATAAAATTTATGAATATAAGTCTATTTGCATTTTTTTTCATGATAAAAATTTTTTTTTCAGAAGATAAACACTAAATAAAATATAATAATATATATATATATATATATATACAGTATATATAATATTGTTATACAAAATAAAGATCTAACTTATTTTAAAGATCGTTACTATTATATAAATAAATATCTGAATAATCAATTGATTATACAAATTTAAACATATGACTTATCAGAAAATTATATAATAAGTCTATATAAAATCAGATTCTAATATTATATATATTCTTTGGGATCCTACTTTACCTTAGGAAGTGATCCAATAAAATTTCTGCTCTAAAACACTCAAAAATTAGCATACTCATTATTTCAACTCAGTTTAAATCATGATTAGGCTTTAGAAGTATTTATAACATTTCAAAATATACTTTGAAAAGATAAAATAGCCTAATAATCTGTCTTATTTTACATTCTAATATGTCTGAAAATGTGTCAGAAATACAATAGAACATGAAAATGACATAAATATACTAGTAACAAATAGGTAATAGTTAGGTTGCAAAAGGGTATACTTTCAGTTAATCAAAAAGACTGGTCATAATAATGCCTATTGTATTTCTGATTTTCTAATCAACTGAAAATACAATATGATGCTCTAATGATTCATGTAAAATTAGCATATTTATACTGATAACAAATAGGTAATAATTAGATTGTAAAATGCGTACTTTTAGTAAACAAATGATTAGAACCAAATGCAGTAAGCATAGTAGACATAGTAAAAATTTGTTTAAATTCAGCTAACACTATTTCTTAATTTTGGATTTACATTAGACATAATATTTCAGCATCCAAGCTGACCTAAAACTGGTAAACTAATAGAAATACTCTGGTTCTCTGCCAGTTCTATGATAGTTTTAGAAGAGTTTCAGACACTGCAGATCACTATCATAGCGATAACTTAGATTCTTCAGATTATGTGTTCTAAAGATCAGCCAGAAATTATGCCATAATGCCTGCTGAAATTAATTATAGATTTATATCAAATTACTGCGTCACCTAACATGATATTTTTTATTACATTTTGGTATTTAGAAAGGCAACTAAATAGATGCAAAGAGTAAGCATTTCAATATAGAATCCAGCATCCAATCAGGTGCAGAAGGTCAGCATTCTCAGCATGAAACCAGATATCTAAACAGCTACAGAAGGCCAACAATCCCATTATAGAATTTAACGTGTAAACAATTCAGAAATAAGAAGAAAAGTATGGTATTTAGATTATATAGTGGTAGTTAGATTATATGGTGGTAAAAATGCAAATAACAGGAAAGGTTTAAAAGGATAGCTAGAACATAAAATAGATATATGATACGCGAAAATATATAGATTACATGGTGGTAATTAGATTGTATTATTTAGATTATATGGTGGCAATTAGATTATATTATTTAGATTATATGGTGGTAATAAGATTATATGGTGGTACTCAGATTATATGGTGGTAATTAGATTATATGGTGGTAATATAATCTAGGGCAAGTGGGATACCACTATATAATATAATTATATTATATGGTGGTATCCCACTTGCTTTATTAGTCGATTTCTAAGGGCATTTACAGTTCGCGACATAATATTTAGAATTTATCATGACATATATATATATTATTGATAATTTATTAACATATTTAAAAAAAAATTTATAATTTATAGTATACCTTTTTTTCTATAACTATACTAATCCGATCTGACATACTAACTGCTAAAAAATTAAAGAAAATATTTTCACTGAATTATGCCTTGAAAATCATCCACGCCAAGTTTTCCTCTAATCCAATCATTAACCTTTTCCTCTACTTTTCCTATAAGAATTGTCCACTAATCAATCATTGGAACATTATTCATCGCAAAAAAAATCGATGGTGCAATATTTGTTAAAAACGACATCAATCGTCAGCATGGAAAGTAGTTGCAGATAGTACAATAGTATATTTCTACTTAGACGGGCGTATAAATATACGTAAAATATACCTAATAAATTATTTAGGAAGTTATTTATATTTGCATGTGAATGAATCTTTCAGTTTAAAAACACTTTGAAATTATAGACAGAACTGTGTTGGTAATTGGGTCACTAATGGGCATATTGAATATCCATTCCCCGTGACCTGTGGGGTAGGAAATGCCTTCTTTTTCAAGATAAAAAGCCTGAACACATAAAAATTAAAAAATTAAAAGCCAATCATAAAGAATTTACAAACCTATCTATCCAAACCTGTCCATAAAAAATTTGAGGTTCCAAATAAAGATCGATCTTATAAATCCATATATTACAAATGAAAAAAAAAAAAAACTAAATAAAAACCGCTATCTTTAAAATTTCATAAAAATTTTATAACTAGAGAAAGCTATCTTCGAATGCACTACGACAATCTTAAATAATAAAGATAAGATAATAAGAGATAAGCGGTCTTAATATATCTTTTGACTGATCACCTTGATAAATTCAGAGAATTTTCGAGTCTGTGTATTAGAAAAGAAATGTTGGAGAGAGAAATTTTGTTACTTTTTTTTTCAATATTTATTATTACCTTTGATTCTTATCGCTCGCACCTGGAATAATCTCTTTGTGACATATCATTTCGGAATGGAGGGGAAAAATTGATTTCATTACGTGATTTGTGTTGGCAATCCTTCATTTATTTTATGCATGTTATTAATATTAAATTAATTTATTAGTTTAATATTAAATTTAAATAACCGACATACTTGTCCAAAGTGATTTCTAGTACAATGATAACAATACAGTCTAAAGCTTCTTTTACATACTGTTGACGCTGTTAAATTGTATCGTCTCCAAGTCGACTGTAAAATAAATAAAAATTAAAAAATATATACAAAAGGTAACAAGATTATGAAAAATTACTTTACCTCATCATTATCAGGATAAAGTATATTCTCACAAGTGTGTTCATCGTGATTAGATTCTCTGCAAAGTACGCAACATTGTCTATTATCATGTGATGGAAATTTTTTATGTGACTCATCATACACTATTCTTTTTCGCTTATGTGAATCAGCATTTTCTGTATGAATCGGAACCGGACTTGGCTTCTTATTCTCTAATGATATATTACTATTATTTTTGGTAATTTTTCTCGTATTGATTTCAAGATTAGGTGTTGCTGCTTCGTTATTTTGTATATCAGATATTGAATTATCTACTGCGTAATATATTTGTGCTAACGCATTTGTCAACTCTTCGTTTTCACTGTTTTCGTTTAAATTAGCATAGCTTTATAATGTAAACCAAATTCAAAGATTAGCATTTATTACCTTTCTGAATCCTCGTTAACTTGATAGATTTCGTTCTCATACTCGAGAACTTGTTCATATTCATATTCTTCCATCGTATATTGTAAAAAAAAATGGACGAAATATTTTATGAAAAAGTCCTAAAAAATGCGCTAAATTTTTTTAAAATATATAAGATTAGATAAGGTAAATTGTCGGAAAAAAATGGTAGCCGGATTTATTTTCCGGGTCACATATACGATTGAATGTAATTCCGGCCGAAATCTTCATAACTCCGCATGTAAATCGTTTTTGATAATTACAGTTAGTCTTTTTGACGATCATTTGCCAGGTTGTTAAGATGCCAATATGACAAATGTACAAGATACCAGGCTGGCTTAATTAATATTTTTTTTTATATATATCGAGCTGAAAATTCTAAAACAGCTCAATATTTCATGCTTGTCTTTAATATATTTTTTTGAATACATTTCCTTCACAATCCTCTTTTTACGCCTTCATGATAAAATATATTAGATTCTATTGATTTAGTTAATACTAATGATCAGGATAATTTACTTTTCAATAACAAACCAATAAATTTAATAGAATTATTTTAGGAAGGAAATATAATGGTAACCTAAGCAGTGGATCTACAAAATTTGACTGTAATGTTAAAAGTATTGCAAGAAGTTTTATAGCTACTAGACAACTAAATGTAAATAATACTCTTATAAATTTATAGATTTAAATGCAAGCTAACACAAATGTATTAGTAAATCCTCTAATAAAAGAAACAAAAGTTATAGTTATTCTAATTTATTATGGAGAAAATCAGAATCCAGTAAGATGGTTGAAAGAATTCATTAGAGCCTATAATGCAAATAATATTGCTAATCTAAGAAAATTAAAAGTTATCTTAGCCTACTTTAAAGGATTAGTATCAACGTATAAATAGTAAATTAAGCTCAAGCAGAAGTATATGCAAACTGAATTGTTACTTGAATGAAAAATGGAATCAACACTGATTTTGTTATCAATTTTCTTATAGTATTTTGATCCTAAATATTGGCGGAAATTTAAATTACAGAGATAGAGTAAAGACATCAACAGCCTAATAAATCTGTTAATGCTTATGTATGTGCTCTCTAAGAGCTATACTAAAGAATTGAAATTCCAGTTTTAATTATCCAGCTACATTGAAAATAAGAAGACTAGTACATAATCTCCTACATAAACTACATTTGATGATAAAATCCATAATGATTAAATTTGAAATGCTATGTTTAATAGAGCAAAGACTTATAAACTTACTTATTAAAATCAAAATGTAGTAGTAGTATATATAAACAAATATGCAAATACCATATTGGCTATCCAGACAAATGTCTTTAATAAAGCTATATTTAATCTGACATAACAGATTTAGCAAATGAATGTTAAAAAAAGAACTTACCAGAATGATAGTATTTAATGATTAATAAACTATTAGCTAAATATATTTTTGACTACAGTATCTTAACAAAATAATTTAATTTGTTATTTATGTAAGTAGCCAGAATATATTAAAAAGAATTATCCTAATAGTTTTAATAATAATCAGCTACTATTATTCAATTAAACTTCACAAATTTCATAAGTAAATGTTCAGAATCCTTCTAAAATAATCTAATACTGACTAATAATATTACCATAATTACAAATAATAATCTCTAAAATCTACAGTTATTATAGCTATTATTATAGCTAGTATTTAACAATATTTAAGATCAGCATTTAAACTAGAGGATGTATCATTAAAGGGTGATAGTATGGAACTAATGATAATTATCTCAAATCTATCTTTATTTGAAGCCTATATTACAATTAGAACATGATTTAAGACTTCTCAAAAAACACTTTATGAATAAAATGAGAAAGATGTTGATAAAGAAAAAAGTGAAGATGATGGACAAGTAATTTAACAATTGATAAGTCAGATAAAAATAAACAATTAGTTACTAAAATAAAAGTTAAATAAAAATACTATTAGTATCATTTATTAACAGCATAATCAATCCTTATATGTTACAATGAATATTACTAATAGACAATTAATAGTAATGAACCTAATATTTGGACAGATAGTAATGAAAGCAATTTGAAAATCAGTAGTTAAGAAAGTAAAAAAACCTATTATTATGAAAGAAAAGGATGAATCTATGAAATCTAATTTGCTAAATAATAAAGAAATTAAGAAAGTTATGATTCTATATTGTGACGTATATATAAGAAATAAAAATTCTGCTTATTGTTGATTCTGACTCTGTTAGATGCATAATTTCCTAAAATTATTTAAGGATTTAAATATGAAGATTACACAAGCATCTAAAACTATAATAGTCAATATTATTAGAAAAAAAAGAAGACTATTAGAGGCATTAACTAGCATTCCTTTAAAGATTGCTGATCATGTAATTCCTTTTGATCCTGTTGTAACTAAAGCTGACTCTTATACTACTATTGTTAGAAATGATTAGTTAAAAGAAGCCTAGGTAATAATTTAATTATAGAAAAGAACTCTTAATATTATGCTGAAATAAATAAGACGTTATTATACTAGTGAAATATCATCAAATATTCATAATCGTATCATCAAAAATCTAATAATAAAAAAGCTAATAAAACTAAAATAAAATATATCATTGATAATAGTGATGATAATAATGAAGAATATGAAGAGGAAACTGATTTACAAAAATAAGTATATTGTTTTAATCAATATATAAATGATGAAGAGATCAAATAAATTGAAATAGAATTTTTTGATTAAATAAACAAAGATTTTCTTCTTAAGAAATCCTATTACTAATATGAAGAAGTAAAAAAAAGGAAAGTTTCATATTAGAGATTTAAATGAAAAACAAAAAAATAATTTTGATAATTTCATACAAAACTAGAGCTCTGAATCAGGTCAGGTTGACCTGTTTACCTGACTCGAACTGACCTAAAAATTCAGGTCAGGTCAATAGATTTTCAGGTTGATGTCAGGTCGAGTCAACAGGTTGACCCAACCCAACCTGAACTGATAAAAATTCAGGTCAACCAATCATTCTTCTTGAATAATTTATTATCATTAAATTAGAAATAACAAAGTTGATT